AACTGCCCAAACCACCCTCCCCCCACCCCCCACCCCTCTTTGAAACCAAGCTAACTACTGCACCGCTTTCTAAGTAAGGATCAGGATCGCATGGAAAGGTTAAGGGAGCCCGGGAGCAATGCAAATCAGGATGGACCTCCAGGGGATGCGGGCGGTGTGCGGCGGGGGGAGGGAGAGGCGAGACAGGGCAGCGGAGCCAGATGTTTGCAGCTGTCGTTTGCTCTTTGCAGCGGTGCCAGCAGCGGCCTGGAAACCGCTCTCCAAACGGCACTCGGATGGCATCTTCACAGACAGCTACAGCCGCTATCGGAAACAAATGGCTGTCAAGAAATACTTGGCAGCGGTCTTGGGGAAAAGGTATAAACAAAGAGTTAAAAACAAAGGACGCCGAGTAGCGTATTTGTAGCGATGGGTAACCAGACACGCCTGTGTATACAATGCCCTAAAAAAAAAGAAAAAAGAAAAAAAGAAAAAAGAAAAAAAAAAGTCATTTCCAAACTGACTGAACAATCACCGCTCCTGTGTTATTTAAACATGTATTTATGTATGAAGTAAAGCCATTAAATGAATATTTTGATAATAATATTGTTTTTCTTTTGTACAAAAAGCACTAGAGAAACGCACAGATCTACTTTGTGGACCAATCCTTAAGTTATATATATACTATATAAATATATATATATAAATACTACTTGCTGAGACTAGAGGACAAATCTTCATATAAAGTGTGCACAAGAGCAAGAATTCGCCTGAGCTGTTTATGTTTTTATATAAAATAAATAGAAAAAAAAGACAATCATTGTTTTGAATATTGCTCCTATTTTTGTAACGGAAATTAAAAAGGAGAGTATTTTTATCCACGACAGGGTCGAAGACATTAATATTCACCATTTGCTACTGTATATAGACAATGATGCCCTGCTCCAAGGAGATTACGATGATAATGATTTGGGAGAATTTCTGAGGCAGATTCTTTTCCCTGGTGAGTCCCAAGACAGGCTCTTTTGCCACAAGCCTATCTGAAGGGGCACGGCCCCCCTTGCTAGAGATTTCAATTTTTCTGCTTTCTTTGATTCCAGTTTTATATGTATTTGTGTCTCCTCAAACACTGATCGGAGCGGATTGATTCTCCGGCGGTGAAACAACAGCTCTATCAAAATTTGTGCATCTCTGTTGACTATTGGAGGGTGGGGGAGGAATATATATATATATATCTATAAAAGAAAACAACGATCTCTAATTAGCCCCGTTCTTTATTCTACTTACTGATTGGGCATAGCTACAGAACAAAGCAAGCCGGAAATTAGACCCATTGAAAAAAGAGTTTGAAATTTAGCTACTGGAAGCGATAGAGCGCAGATCAGAGAGGAAGTGCCCCTAACGGGTGGGTGGTGTCAGGCTGCCACAAGACCTGGGTAACATGAGACGATCCCACTTGAGATCTACTACCCAGCTGATCTCGGTCAGCTTGGTACTGGACTCGATGCAAAGTACAATGTGTTACTCTCTCCAGTGCTGTCCATGCTTCTCATCATGTGTAATGGCCAGGAATCTCTCCCTTTGAATCTTTCAATTGGAGTTGCTCCTTTCCTTTGTTGTTTTCTTGTAGCCCTTTCATCCTGTCTTGCAGTATTTAAGCTCTGTTACCCATCGGAGTCAGTTCTTTTTCTCCTTCTTTTCTTTTTTTAAAAGATTGTGAACGCCTCTCTCACTCTTCTGTTCTGTTTTATGCAAGCTCTTATTGTAAAAGTTTAGGAACCCCTGTTGTAGCTACCACTAAATAATTATGCACTACTACTGAAGTTTTTGTTCTTTGTTTATTGAGTTTGGAGGTAAAATGTATTTTTCTACATTATGGCTTATTGCTGAGTAAAATTTATTTCATAAAACCAACTTTTGTCATAACAGAATGTGTAGTGTTCACCTGCGGTTCAGTTTCTAATGACCGATAAATCATTTTAACCTCATCTTTATATGTACGGAGTTATATCTTACCTTCTGGAAAAAAAAAGACAAAAAAAAAAAAAAAAAGACTGAAACAAACCCGATCGAGGAAGCTTTCCATCCCTTCTCTTTTAAAGGTGATGTGCACGTTTGTTTCCTTGCAGATCACTCAACATAACGGTGTGATGGAGGAATCATTTAAAAGAAATTAACCACCCCCAAATTACAGACGTCGATTGCTTTTTATTTTTATTTAAAAAACACCCACTTGCCAAATTTAAAAGACCTTCCCTTGTCCTTTCCCAATCTGATCGGTGGAAAGTCATGCATCAAAGAAAACAGAATTGAGTTTGCAATCCCAAGTTGAGCGCACTGCAAACAGTGGTAGCACTCAGGCAGTCGATCCCTGCCTGTGTGGTGTGTATGAAATCAATCTTGCTTTAATTTTGCATTCTCCTCAGGCAAGGTGATGCAGGATGCAGTTTGCAGCTTACGTGCCTTTCTTCGCCTTTTAAATCGCCACGAATTCACAGATGGCTATTTAGTGGCCCTACAATGCTGCAACACATCAGCTTGCATTTTAGTCTTAATTATTTGTTCTTTGATCCTGGGCAGAGTTTGCTGTATTTGTGTCAGCTGTGGTATAATGAAATAGGGCTCTCTTGACGTTTTATTTATGAACTATCATTTAGAGTTCAGTGGCTAGCTGCAAGCATTATAAAGTGATCACATAGATTATCCTTTGTATAATTTTTAGAAAAGCCAACAGCCTTACTAAACCTGAGCAGATTTGAGATACAGTGCTAATTTAGATAGATGTTAGTCTTGGAGAACTTATTTTGTGTGCAACTAAAATAACTTAAAGAAAGTATTATTACAGACATGATATCTATAACTAGGACTTTGATAACTGTTATATAAGTGTGTAAAGTTTGTATTAATAAATTTTTGTAAACAATGCAACTTCGTCTAATGTTTGGGGGAGAGCTATCTAGAGCTTAACAATGAAAGCTGTATTTCATTTTAAAAGCTAATTAGTTTATTTTAAAGCACTATTTCTAACAGTTTTTCATGTCTGAAATATCTTTTTTACTAAGCCTCTCATCAAATATTCTCTAGCATTTTATTGATGGGTTACTTCTGTATTCAAATAGATTAATGAAATAGTAGTAGACTACTGGAATAGCAAAATCCAGTTTCATATACATTAGATAAATTTCCTAAAATGTACAAACATAAAAGAGCCAATGTCCAACTTTAGTATATTTTTTTTCCATAGGGTTCTAATAATTCCTGTGTTAAGGAGTTGCTTATTTTGAAGAAAAAAGGATATACTTAATGAAATATTCACCCAACTTCCTAAAATGACCCTTCTGGTACACAAAACTATGCTTTGCAATACTACGTATTTTGCAGGCTGATTTGTTAGCACAAAGTGAACATCTGAAAATCCCAGAGCGAAGTCTTTAAAATGTAAATGTTTCAAGACCTATGATTATTATTGCTATTGTAGCTCAGGGACTGTATTTATAATATTTTGGGAAAGGTCCAGACATTTAGTTTAAATTAAATCTTTTTAAGAACAGGCAATTAAAAGACATTAAATCACAGGAATCAAATTAAAATTATCTAGCAAAATTTTAAAAGAATTCCTAAGAATTTTCATTTTTTTTTCACTAGAAAGCCAGTGCTTAAGAAAAATAACTCAGATTCTTTGTGCCTCCTTTATCCAACTTTCTAGTTTAGTTTAGGCAATGACATTTCACTAACAGAACACACTGAGATAACTCAGAGAAAGACAGTAATGTCAACATTGTAGCACAAGAAATTGCTACAGTTTTTATGTTTTAGAAATCATTCCTAGGTCACAGATACAGGTGCAAAGGAATCTGTAGCCTGTAAAATTGGTTTCTCAAATTGATAGGGAAGGTAAATCAGACCATTGTCTCCCAAAGGCGGTGTTCACTGAAATATTATAATTATAAAATTAATTTTATATGCATTTAATTCTCACAAATATCACAACATTAAAGCTACTGTTAACCATAACAGCAAATCACGTTTTGAGTTTGGGGACAAGGTCTTTTTTATATTTGTGGCTTAAAAGGTGAAAATTAGAATCAGTCTATCAATTAAAAGCCAGCATCCTGCTCAGAAAGGCATCCACACTTGTTAAAAGATTGTCATAAATGTCAAGGAGCTGGTATGAGACTTATAATTGAAAGAAGCATTCAAGCATCTCTTTTTCAAATCAAAGATTACTAAATTAAGAAGTTCATTCATATGCCCAATTATTTAAACCTAAACATGAAACAGAAGATTTGTATAACACTATGCAGTTTTGACAAGAAATGGTTAACATGGGATATAGAAATGGATAAAAAGTTGTCTAAACACAGCAAAAAGAATAAAACACAGATTATAAAAGGCAAACTGCACTGTTGACATTTAGTTGTAATGCCTGTAGCATTCAGTGGAGGATTCTGAGCACAATGGGACAAATTCATCTAGATTCTATCTGTTGGGTCCTTGGTTTAACTCCATTGCTTTCTACCCAGTTACAGGAGCCATAATTATGGCCCTCTATAGCCCTTCAAAGGCAAACTTCTGGCATAAAGTACAGTTTCAGGTTACAAATTACACTGGAAACATTTACAAACTTTACAGAAATACATGCACCTGGGGGTACAGCCTAAACTTCCCAGTTTGTTTCCCTGAGACCAGAAAAAAAAGAGAGTTTTAGAAGAAGAAATAAAGCAGCAAAATTGTCTTCTGACATCAGAAAGTGGGCAAACTACTGCCTGCCCTTGAATGTGCTGGTGTCTATCCTCATGGTTTGGGAAGCCACCCCCATGTTAAACTCCCAATCATCTGTAAATGTTCTGATTTATCTGCAAGACTTACATGTGCTTTGTCTAAACGAAGTGAAGGAAGAACTTGATAATAACAGGAACCATAATAATTTTTGCTGTCTTCTAGGCAACCTCAGAATTAGATTTCAAGATTTAAATTTTCATTTTCCTCAAGAAGTCTGTCTTTAGACAAACTTCCTAGTGAAAACCCCAAATGATCATTTCGTTTGTGTAAGAACCCTAGTACCCAAAAACCAAAAGGTTTTTTGGGGTTTTTTTTGTTGGTAATGTATTCTGACAGCATGGATGATACAGGTCATAGAATTCCACCAGAAACTTCCTGCATCAAGCCCTTGACTTCCAATAGAGCTATTGCTTATGACAAGCAGTTTTGA